ATAATATACTATAGTAACCGTATGTCTTTGATGGATAAATTGTTGTCTTGGTTTTAACAATATACAACACAGTAGTCCATTTTTCAAATAATTTTAGTTCATCGGTTTAAGTAATATTTTAGTCAAAGTGATTGTGTTGAAAAAACATTTCACACACACGAGGTAGCAAAAAGAAAACAATAATGAACTTCCTCCAAAGTCCAAATCAAGAGGTATACGTATAATTTATTGTTATCACTTTTATTTATTAATTATTTCATATGCGTAGATGTAGTAATCTATACTCAGTATTAAATCCATTTCATTTTTATTTATTTATACACCGGGTCTTTAAATTGAAATGGTGTTGGGAAAAGCCAAAATAGTGAAGTCAACATTAATATAAAAAAAAAAAAAAAAACTTCACGTGTATATGTCGGCATGAGAGACCATAGTCAGGAGTCAGGACAGTCATGAGTCATCTCATTTAATGTTAGGGAGTAGCTTATTATGTTCTCTCAATGTATATATGTAATGAATTTAAAAAAAAAAAACATTAAACCAATCCTTGAGATGGATAACTGAATAGCTCAATAGATCTCCATAAGATGTATGTATATTATGTACCGAGTATATATGAAGGCACTATGATAATTACTTCATTAAATTAAATTGCCGTGTAGACCCGTGAGTTATACGGAGTATATCAATATATGTGGTACTGGTGCTAGTAAAAATAAACAACCCATGACTCCAGAAAATTGTCAGTGCTTTATGAGAGTCTGGCCATTTAGATAAGACCGTTTATTTGTCCAGTTTGTTTATCTCACCCCCTAAGTAGCAAATACATGCAATTTACACGAAACCTGGATATTTGTTGTGTCAACCCAACTCATAATATCAGGACGTACAAAAAGATGTGGTAGTGTTAGTACACCCATGTGAAATACGGAGTAGTTGGTTTTATAGAGAGAGATACTACGATGTACTCCGTATTTATTATATCAATTATGTAAGTGTCTTCTCAAAGGAAGAAGACAAGTAAAAATAAATGCTCTTATCTACTTGTATGGCCTGTGACTAACTACCAGCTAGTTTTATTTATACATCAATTCAATGAATTAGTTTGTATGATGATGTTCGAATATAAAGCAAACAACGTACTAATTTCCCCTCACCGTCTCTCCTTTTTTTTTACAGAGTACTTCATATCGAGTTCCCTTTTTTTTTATAGTCTATGAAGATATAAAAATAGATTGTATTTATGCTACTATCAAATGTTGAAGAGAGGAAAAGAAAACTAATACTATCTACTACGTAGTATATTAGTTGATGGATTCATGAGATTGATGAGCTTATGCTCTTCTTATATTCATACGGATTTAGTTCATATGTATTTAGTACAATATGTTCATATTATCATATATATACATGAAAATCTCTGATATATGCTGTCAAACATTCTTCCCAAGCAAAAGTTCAGATTTCAGAGCATATTTTATCTCAAGAACATATTAGTATAAAGGTATGTCTTTCTTCCTCTTCGGCCTCTTTTATAAAAAATATAGCTATAATTTTCTGATATGGAGGATCCCAATTGTTGGGCAACCATAGAGCATACTTCTTATAGTTTTGAATATATATAAACTTGTTATACTTCTCAATCTCTGATTTTCTTTTCACATGAATTAATAAATTCCAGAAAGTATATACCTGCTGGGAAGATGATGATTTTGAAGATTTGGAGTAAATTCGTGCTGATAACGTGTTATAATATGGAAGGAAATAAGCAGAAGATCAGGGAGATAAAGTATAATCTGAATACTTAGTGAGAAAGATGTTATTAGAAGTGTGATAATGGTGTGTTAATTACAATGAGAATGACTCCTATTTATAGGAGAAAGTGTGAGCTCAATGAGATTAGGAGATCATTGTGAGCCACACATTTATCACCTTGAAATCACAATTATGATTTCCTAATTATTTATGTAATGATGATAATAATTCCTAATCAGGAATAGTTAGAAGATGACTAATTCAATAATATTTCAACAATTCGATGTTTATTTAGTCGACTACTTCATGATATCAAAATTTAGCATTAGTCCTCCGCGTACTTCAAGTATACATCAAATCACCAATGTGTCGCGGCGGTTTAGCTTAGTTGTACACTATGTCTTCTCTTTGTATAAGTTTAAATGATAAAAAACTTCTACTTTCCCTTTTTGGTAAAGAATGTGTGGTTTACACATTTCTTACACATTTTTCTCTCCTTTGCACAACTCTCCATCACACAATACCCCACTATCTTAAACTGTGTGCCCAACCCATTTGACGGAAGTAGTAAGATAAAAATAACATAACATCATAAGATAGATAAAAGGTGAAAGAGTTAAAGGACATAGGAAAATAAATGATGAAAATAACATAAAAATATAGAATGATTAATAAAACAAAAGATAAAAGAAAGAAAAATAAAAAGAAGAAAAGAGATCAATCGTCCACACGTATATGTATCACATCCACTTTACTCTGTCCAAAGTCATACCCTCATCTAACCCAAGAAGAATTATATTAGTTCTGATCCTCTCATCCAAGTCTGTTTGAGTCTCCCCCCTTACCCGTTTGTTCTCCCCAGCTCTCAACTCATCCAATAGGTGCATCACCCGGTCTTCTACGCCATGACCAAACCATTGCAATCGAGACTCTTGCATCCTATATCATTCCTCAAGAGGTCTTTTTATACTTCCACACATCCAACGTAGCATACACATCTCTGCCACACTCATATTTTGAATGTGACATTGTTTCACCACCAACACTCTACATCATGCATTAATGCAGGCCTAATTGCTATTCGATAAAATTTACCCTTTAGCCTAGTCGGCATACCCCAATCACATAGAAATCATGATACCCTCTTCCACTTCATCCACCTTGCTATGATTCTATGGGATACATCTTCATATAATTCACCATCCTTCTGAATTATAAAGCCCAAATAACTGAACATACCGCATCGGTATCTCTTTGCCATCAAGAGTAATCCCACTATTATTACTGCATCTACCTCCACCAACTTGTACTCCATATACTCGATCTTACTTCGACTTAGTCTGAACCCCTTGGTCGCCAAAGTTTTTTTTACAATACTTCCAACTTCTTTAACCGTCGATTGTGTCTCAACAATCAATATAATATCGTCGCCAAACATCATGCACCACGATATATCTCCTTGAATTGACTTTGGAGGTTCATCCATGACTATAAGTCTATAACAAATAAGAAATGACTCAGAGCCGATCCTTGGGCACTCCGTTAGTAATAGGGAACTCTGCAGTCTACCCTACACTAGTACGAACACTTGTAGTACAAGCCTCATATATATTCATGATGATATTGATATCATATACTTATGTGACATGCTTTTTGTAGTCAAGATTCACTAAAAGACTTCTCAAGATACCTATCATATGTCTTTTCTAAGTCAATGAACACCAAATGCAGATCCTTTTTAGTGTCATTATACTTCTCCACAACTTGTCTAAGAAGATGAATAACCTTATCTGTTGAGTGTTCAGTCATAAAGCTAAATCGATTTTCCGAAACTTTCACACTTTTTCAGAGTCTTTGCTCAAAATTTAATGGTGTTGCTCATAAGTTTAATCCCTCAATAGTTAGCACATTATTGTACATCATCCTAATTTTAAATAGGGGAATAATAGTATTCCAGCCCAGCTGGTTGTGAGGATACCGTGCCTAGTGGGAGGTCTCGAGTTCGAATCCCGCTAGGCACACAAGGGTTGGAAACTCAATGGAGTGAGTTTTAGTCCTGATTACTCCAGGCTCCCCCCAGCCCCCCTCCCCCAGACTCCTCGGAGTAAAAGAAAAAAGTACTCTTATGCCAAATCATTGTGTTTTGTTGTTTTTCCAAATAAAGTTGAAGAAACGTGTTAGCCTCTCGATGTCTTTCTCTTTGAAACTTCTCTAGGCCTCAATCAGTATGCTATCTGGACTCACTGCTTTCTTCCGCCCCATCTTTCTCAAAGCCTCTTTAAATTCTGACATTTGAATCCTTCTCACAAAATATATTTCATAAAATAAAGAAAAAGTACATGATTAAACATTTAGATTGATGTTTTATGGTAACGTTTAACTCTAACCTTACTTTTTTTATTACTCCATATTACATAATTTAGCACGTGAAATTAAAAGTTACATGTTTGATAAAAAAAGTGCCTGATCAGCCTGATAAGCCGAATATATTGGCAAACCCTAAAAGTTGACTACAATCCATAAATGTAGAAGTTCATAGGGTTTAATGCACAAAACCCTCTCGTGATATAGAAATTCAGTGTATCAGCCCTCTGTGATTTAAAAAATGCGTCAACACCCTTGTGTTATAATTATTAATGGATAGAACTCTTTTTATGAATAAATTTACCAATTTACAAATCATTTTTCTTAAAATTATTATTGAATATGCAAGTAAATTTGTCAAAAATCTAAATATATGTGAATGGTGATATTTTTGTTTAATTAAAGACTTCAATTTTTTCATTAAAAGGGATTCTGCGCATTATTTATTATAGTACAAGGAGATTTTCCGTATTTTTAAATCACGAAGGGTTAATGCGTAATTTTGTTTTTTATTATCCTTGTACACTTATTATAATATTTGCTCTAGTCAATGTCAACATATTTTTTTTGAGATGAAACTCGGACATGTGACTCTTTCAGAGATCAACAAGAATGCCACAAGATACTTTGCGGTTACTTTTGTGCATTAAAATTGGGTGGAAAAACTATCAAATAAGCACTCGTACTATGCCGAAAAAGTCGATTAGACTCTCGTACTTTACAAACACTCAATTAAGTCCTCGAACTATTAAAAAACGTTCAATTAAGCCTTTTTGATCGGTAAGTAATCGATTTCCCGGTTAAACCGTGACAGGTTACATTTTACGGACTTTGGGTTCATAAAAATGAAAACTTTTGTAATTCATGCACTTTAACAATTTTACAATTATCAATTCCTTTTACTTCGTACAAAACCCCCTTCTTCATGGCAAAATTCCCAAATCGGCTGCAAAATTCTCACCGGACCGACTGAGCTAATCAGGGCAACTTTTACAAATTCTCAAATGGTGCATCGGCACTTCTCCACTGAAAATTTAATCCACCCCACAGTGAAACAGCAATGCGCTTCTGTGGCATCCCACTGAATACTCCCCTCTTCAGCATCGAGGGATCTCTCTTCTTCTTTCCACAGCGTTCAGCGAAGGCAAGAGCCATGGAGACCAAACGCTTATCCTGTGCTTCTCTATCCCTTCTCCCGACAGGAACCCACAGGGAGAGCGGTAGAGAGGGTTCAATTAGCCTCGAGGAATGGCAGGGTTGGGGCAGCACCTCCACCGTACCCGCTATGGTTATTGAGGTCATTGAAGACTTGAAGCTGCTCGAGAGAACCGCTGATGCCGACATGGTCTTTGGAGGCAAACATGGAAAGCTTCAGGTAAAAGATCATTTTTCTCCTCTTTCCCTTCATATTTACGAGTGTCTGAGGATTATTTAATCCTTTCTTCTGTAATTTGTTCAATGGAAGTCTCTGGTATTTGTTGTGGAAAGCTTGTTGAGGAAATCTGGAATGTACTGTTTTCACCATTGTTATTAGGGTCCTGCCTAATCCATTTTCAAGGAATATAATGCTATAATTTTGGGACTATATTGAGGGTTTAAATAAATTCTCTTAGAGGATTTATTAGTAGGTAACCTTATCCATGAAAGTTTGACTTCTGTACAGTCAAATACTCAAATCTCTAAGTCATCATTATTCAGCCTGTTCTTATCTCTAGGGGGACTTCAAGGTGCATGAGGATAAGAAACATAGAGCAAAATACAAGTCCTTGAATGATTCTGAAAAGAAGCTTCAGTTCTTTTCAGCTCGACAAATTGCATGCCGCTTGCTTGGAAGTAGGCATTACCTTTGCCAGAAGGTATATGCATGACTTCATTTTAATCACTCTATGTCACTGTTTATGTCAGTAAAACTCTCTGGTTCCTGATCCATATTTGGAACTTATTAGATCCTTCAAATTCCTGCAGTGTTGGCTTGCCAAGGAAGATTGTATGTGTTCAAGGCTCGTACCATTTCATCCTTGGCACCGTATACGGTTTTGGTTGTATATGCATCCTAAGGTGGGACCTTTTTTGTTTTTCTTTTCTTTACACTGTAACATTTTAAATGGTGGATCTGCGCTAAAGAAAAAAATCCATCCTCTACAGGATTTCTTGCGCCAAAATAACACAGGAAAGCTGTTATGGCAAGTTTTTGGTGTTCATGCTGCTAATTTGTGCTTATTTGGCATTTCCGAAAATGAGGAAATGCTGTGGAATGCGTTAAAACTGGCAGGTTCTCATCAATTTCTTTTGATTTAAATGTAAAGTGACATAAAAACATACTCCGTATTATACTTCAGTATAACAAGTGCTGAACTGACAATGGTTACACACCAAAAAGGCTAAGTTAAATTTCTTATTCCGGGTAACATTATGGGTTAACTTTATGTTACCCTAGCAGGAGTTTGTGTTAGCCTTACAATTACATAGTCTAATGTCCGTGTTTGCATTCTCTTTATATTTGAACAAATTTAGTTTCTGATCTTGGTATTTCCTCTTTGATTTGATATCAAGCTGATACCTATCTGCTTTTTCTGTTAATTATGTCAGCTCTGAGTTGTTGATCCAAGTTTTTTTATTTTATAAATATTAAGTAGAGGAAAAGGTTGACACAGCGGATCAACCTTTATTATTTCCTTATTGGATATTTTTGCTACCAGGGAAAGACAAGGTTTGGTGTCTCTTTCCTAATAAGAATGCTGCAACAAAATCTGTTACAGACAGCCTTTTCCAGAATCCTTTGGATGATTTCTTATTCTGGGTAACATTATGGGTAACATTTTGTTACCCTAGCAGGATTTTGTGTTAGCCTTACAATTCCACAGTCTAATTTCCCTGTTTGCATTATCTCTTTATATTTGAGCAAATTTAGTTTCTGATCTTGGTGTTTCCTCTTTGATTTGATATCAAGCTGATGCATGCCTGCTTTTTCCGTTAATTATGTCAGCTCTGAGTTGTTGATCCAAGTTTTTAACTTTAAAAAATATTAAGCAGAGGAAAAGGTTGACAAAGCCAACCAACCTTCATTATTTCCTTATTGGATATTTTATGCTACCAGGGAAAGACAAGGTTTGGTGTCTCTTTCCTAATAAGAATGCTGCAACAAAATCTGTTAAAGACAGCTTTTTCCAGAATCCTTTGGATGATCTAGATTGCAAAACAAAAATGGTATATTTTTCCTGATTGTTATATATTTATATCTCATAATACTGTTGCATACTGTTTTAACTTTAAAAGTGTTTATCCAGATGTACTCACCTTAATAAATCAGAATATTGGTTTTGTGGGGTAATTATGCAGGCAAATTTTGATGACGTCTTTCACTTTGTTCTACTTGATGGCACCTGGAGCAATTCTACTGCTATGTTCAGCCGGTTAAAGGTATCATTCTGTGTTTTTTGTTGCTATAAAATACTTCCTCCATTCTTTTTTAATTGCAATGTTTCTATTTTCATGTTTGCCAACGCACAACTTTGATAATTGATATATTTCATTCCTAAAAAATGGCAATACAAAAGAGATGATGACCAGTTGATGAGATTGAAATTTATTTATTTATTTATTTATTTATTTATTTATTTATTTATTTATTTATTTATTTATTTATTTATTTATTTATTTATTTATTTATTTATTTATTTATTTATTTATTTATTTATTTATTTATTTATTTATTTATTTATTTATTTATTTATTTATTTATTTATTTATTTATTTATTTATTTATTTATTTATGCATTCATTTTACCCCACCATAGGTGGGAGCTTTGCTGCATTGGGGTAATGACGACGACGATGATGATGATTTATGCATTCATTTCTATTATATAAAGATTAAGAAATCAATATATATGCAAAAAACTTAAAAGTTAATAGTATATCATTTTCTAAGATAAAACAAAATACAAGCAAATAACTTCCCTCATCCTTTGTTTTGTTTCCCTGTCGTTTCCCAGGATTTAAGCATAACCTTGTTGTTTAGGAACTTTGGCATCCAGCCTTTTACTTGATATGAAATGGCTTATGGACAGGAACGGGCCAAGTCAATTTGGGGTGAGGGAGAGGAGTTGCCTTGTATCTCACTGAACACAGGGGTATCCTTGATGCATAGACTACGGTAAGATTTGCACAATGCAAGCCATCTTCTGCTTTGAAATCATAGGTTATGAAGATTATTATTTTTCCTGAAGCATTGTGATTTATTTAGCACAGACCCCAACCATCTTGGGACCGAACATGTACAGCAGCTGCAGCAATTGGCCTCCTGCACGAGCTTCATCTTGTTCCTGCTTTCGATTCCTATGAGCTAGACAAGCATGCTGATGCAATCGAAGATGCTTTGGAGGTTCTCTTAGATGCGCTGACCAAACGACGCCTTCGGATGGGAAGAACCATCACCCGTAAAGGTAGACATGGGAGCAAAATAATTTAGCCGAGAATTTATGTCGTGCTGCTGACATCACATCTGACCAGCATAGTGGAATTTGCCCAGTAATTTTAACAGTTCAGTAGTTATATATTTTATTTAAAAAAAACCTATGTGATGTGTAACACTGTAACTTTAGTTGTCGACTCATGGGTACTGGACAAAAAAACATCCTTCGTCTTGAAGGCAAACCCATTTGCCAAATCCAATCTTTGTCTAGCTTTGACTTTGTTAGTTTTCTATTTTGTTTTCTTGTTCCCATGTTTAAGGACTCATCATTACCATTACCCCAATGCCGCAAGGCTCCCACTTACGGTGGAGTAAGAAGGGTCAGATGAACGCAGTCTTATCCATGTACTAAAGCACATATAAACTATTTCCGGATGATCCATAGTGAAAATCACGTCGAAAATTGCATGGACTAACTGTTGCTTTATAACAAAGAAGCGTTGATAGTTTAATGAGCCATTTTGCTTTATTACTTCATATTCCCAAGCCAAAAAAGTGAGTTTTTGGCTCCATTACAAAGGATGGAAAATGCATTGTTTAAGGACTCTAAAATAAAAATGGTATGTAACCTCGTTATTTTAAACAGACCAATCCTCATGGTTTTTTTATGAAGCTTTTCATGGAGAGCTAACCTCCATTTTAGGACAGGTCTGCTTGATGTAGAGTGAATATATGGAGAGCAATGTATCAAACAGGTCATATGGCATTTGTGCAGCTCAAGCTCTCATCACAGGTTTACGCCTCTCTAATTTCTCTGTAATTGAGATATTAGTTGTGTGTATGCATAAGCTCCATATTTATCTAAAAGCTTCTTACCATGAACTCATGAAGGAGAGTGGAAGCTGGATTTAGGATCATAATAATAATTATAATCTCTTAAAAAGGCGCTGGTTTGTATATTGAATTCTTGGAAGAGCTCTTTTATTATTTCTGAAAAGGCCTACCTGGAGAGTCAAACTTCAGAGTTCAGACCAATCATTGCTTGTAAAATATTTGGAGGTTAGTTATTCTATTGCAAGAGCAAGGCTTATATCCTTGGGAAGTTGATGTTTGTCAAACATAGTTCTAACTCTTTGTATGTCTATATATTCCGTATTTCCGTAATATATATAGGGTCTTGAAGCTCCAATATGTGTTACTAAAAAAGAAACATGAAACTAATATGAAATCTTCTTTATTAAAAATACTATTACAAAAAAAATACTCCGGTACTAGTAAGTTTTTCAGAACTGTATTATTAGTCACAATGATAAACAGGATGGGTGAAAGATTCATTGGGCTTGTTGGATTTGGGAAAATTATACCGTAATCAACTAATGAGTGCAATGTACCTTGTACGGGTAGGCATAGACCCGATCTTGAATCGGGTCTGGTACTGGGCAGGGCCGCACGAAGTCCGTTTTCCGGTCCCAAGCAAAGACCGAGTACCCATATGGGTATATAGTTATATACGGTACCCAATCTCGGGTTCCATTTACTGGGACAGAGTCAGATGGTCCCAGTCCCGATATCAGTCCCAACGATCAAATGTATTTTGTTTTTGTAAATGTACAAGTCAATTTAATGTTTCAAATATAGTTTATTCTACATAGTGTACATACGTAGTAGTTTTTTTGAATGTATATAGTTTTTTTGTTTGTATACGAGATTGGAACCAGGAGTCCAGGACCGGTCGGGTTCCTGGAATCGGACCGGGACCCTAACTACCCGGGTCAGGCTTGGACTTCAACAAATTCCCCCAGAATTGGCCGGTCCGGGACCGGAATTAGACCGCATCACCGGACTTTAACAGGGGTCATGCCTATGCCCGAGTAATTCATGCATTGGGGTGACTAAAGTTGATCAAATTAGGACAAAATCAATACAAACCGACTACAATCGACGAATTCCAATACTCACTTTATTACGGGGTACATTTTTCACGAATTCCAATCACTTTTTGCAACATCTAGAAGGTTAGTCTTGTTGATTAATTTGATATAGATGTGGACTTGGTCTCGGTGTGGCAGCCATTGGGTTATCTGTCGTCTTGGCCTGCCACTTCTTTTTTTAGCTATTGCTAATCCCTTCTCCTTTATGCTTAGCCTTCACACCTTTTCTCCCTTATCTCCTATTGTATGTAAAGGGCTTCTCTTGCCCACCTGGTAATGAGTCCTATTGCTATGTTCAAAAAATTCCTATTTCTTTTCAAATAGCACCTGAACTGCAGTAGCGCTTAGCCAAGCTTAGAGCTATCAAAGGCGCGGTAGTTTAAAACTGGAATTGGCACAATATCGCGAAGTGGCCGCCTTTGCTCAATTTGGGAGCCTGAACTAGGACTGGGAGGTTCTTGGGACCAGACTGGAACCTGTAGAAGTGGTTCAATTAAGAGATTGGCCCCAGGGGTGGTTCATGAGGACTGGTCCCGAACTGCCTTTTTTAGATCGAGGCCATCCGGTCCAGTCCCAAGTCGGTCAGAACCGACATGGAATGGATTGTGTCCATCCCTAATTATACACATTGAGACTAACCAACTTTGTTATCCTATGTAATCCTATGAATTACAATTTAATGCTCTCGCACAGAGATAGAGTCACTACCTACTTTTAGTCAATACTGATGCCCTTTTATCAGGATTTGGATCCTCTGCCGTGCGGCAGAGGTGCCTTGCGGCATCCAACGGCATGGACGGTAGGGGAGAAGAGGTGGTGGGGCTGCTTTGGTTGAATCGCGTGGCTATAAAAGCCACGCACCCTACCTTGCTGCTATAGCAAGGCAGAGAATCCAAATCCCTTTTATCACACTACATCAACTCATTTGTATAAAATCTGCAGATTTTCATTTTAATAATGTAAATGACATATTCTAATTTTTAATAACAGAGAAATGATGTCTCTATAAAAACAACTCCATTATCAGTAATATTTATTATAAATGACATTCGCATGGCCACATCGAAATTCAAAAGCAGGGAATGATGCTCATCATGAAGTACTGAAGCCCAATGTTTCATCTTGGGACAATGATCTTTAAATACTTTTCACACATATGTGCACATTTAAAAGAACTTCATCTATGTTCTCAATGTTACTACATACACCCGCTCATTTTCCTTAGATGTCAGATCAAGTATCGTTAACTCGATTTTCTATGGCAAAAACATGCACAAAAATGCATTACATTCATATATCGGTACAATGTTATTCACAACACAATAAAATTTGGAAATCGGACACTTACTACGGATTATTTTGCCACGGACACAAATGTCAATTTCAGTTATTATGTCAATGTCACCGATACTACTGTCAGTGACATTTTTCTACATGTCGCTACAGAGTATCTTTTTTGGGATAGTTTTTGGATGTCTAAATTTGACATTTTCAGAAAAAGTTTCCATTGGTGGATGTCGGACATTGGCGAGCTGGTAGGGGGAAGGATGGTTGTGGGGACAGTGGGATAAATATATGATCAAGGTTGATGGGATTTAGATATATTTAGGGCTTTAGAGTCACTTTCTTAAAACAAACAATTAATCATCACAAAAATGTAAAGGTATCACTCATTTTTGTTTAAAGGCATTCTTAACTAAATAATTTTCTCACAATGTGTACTATTTGGTCTCGGGATCAGTTAGGACAAGAATTAGTTGATTTATTAACCGGTACGGGTCAGGCGGTTCCCATCTGAAACCGTAAGTGGGGCGGTGAGGAGAATGGTCCATTTGCTCAAAATGAGGACCCGGACGGGCTGGTTCGGTTTCTGTGTTGTCCCTGATGACTACACCACTAGCTCTTTTGACCGTTGGATACTACATTTCTTTGTAATATGTTTATTTTTCTAATAAACAGAGTTCTGACTTAATCGTCGAAATTCTATGTTGATACTTATAAGAAAATGTCTTTAGTTATATTTCATCATTAATAATTCATACATTAAGAAATAATTAAGTACTAAAAAAATTAAATCCGAGATCGTAACCGGAACTGACGGTTGATCGGAATCCACCTAGAAACGATATAGGTCTCGATTCGAGTTCTATATATTATTTTATGTGTACTTGTGCTTTTTGAAAAGAAAAAAATGTTTGATGAATGGTTAAGGAAATTTGAACATGCATATACATGGTTGAGAAAAGAGAGATTTGACTTTTTTCCCTGCCATTCTTTCTCCTGGCCTCTCTCCCAATCTTTGTGGCTTCTGTTATTTTCAGACCCCTTTCCTACCCTCTTCCTCCTCTCTCTAACAAAACTAGAGAACAGAATACAGAAGGGGGCTGTTGCCATTGTTAGGAGGAGGAAGTCAAAGAGGCATTTGGTTCTCTGGAAAAGAAGAAATAAGAGATAAAGAAGGGAAGAAAATGGGGTTGAGATATTGCTTCTTTTTGCTTCTCTTCTTCTTCCTCCTCGGTTTTGCCACTCCCTCATATATTAAATGTAACATTTCTTCTTCAAAGTCAGTAATCTGTGTATTTTGATTTTTATTTATTTATTTGAAATTAATTTAAAATTAACATATGTTTTGGATGGATGAGCAGATGAGGTGCTAGAGAATGCGGGAAGAACAGCAGGACGTTCCCTTCTCCAGGAGAAGCAAGGTAATGTGTTCTCCCTTCATTATCCTTTAATTTTTCTTTCGGCCTAGATAATTTGGTACGTTAGACATGCAATGAGATATGATCAGACATATATAATCTATTCCAGTTTCATACTTTAATATTAAAAACCAAAGACATAATTTATCCCTTTGATATGTTCTTAAGGATTGAATCAAATATACTATAAATAAATAAATAAAAGAATCAAATATACTACAATCATTTAATGATTAATTAGGGCAACAATTTAAAAAGTAAGATCATTATATATTTAAATGCCAATTGTTTTGCAAAATGAATATGGAGTGAGCAATACTAAAACTATGTAAGAAAATCCTTTGACAAGTGATGTTTTTATTTGGATTGCTTTTCGTTCAAGACTAGACCAGATCAGACTTAATCAGATCATACTTGTTCAGATCGAACCACACCAGACCACACTTCCATAGTTATAAAATACTCAGAGACCAAATATTAACCAGACCAGACTAGTAAACATCAGAGACCAAACCAGACTTAAACAGACCAGACCAGCGAAATTCAATCCAAGTAAAAACATTCTTGACAGTTTTATTATCTCTCACTTTTTATTCAGAGAATTCCATTTGAAGAAAGACATAAGTTGAAATTTGGTACTATGTAATTGATAACCTGGTTGGTGAGCCGGTTTTAATTTTCGGGTTATTAGCCAAACTTTTTTACTTGACACGTAACTTAGTAATATGCGCACTAAATTGTTTTGTAATAATCAAAATAAGTAAAATAAAAAGAAATAATTACATAAATATGACCAAAATAAAAATGATTTACAAAATTATGATTAATGACTAGAGTACTAATGAAATTATAGTAATTCATGTTCAAGTTTTGAGCTTAAGTTACCACAACACCACATTGCATGTAGTAATGAATAGTCATATTTGTGTAAATATATTTTATTTTAGTAATATTCTTGTAAAAACTCAAATAAAAATTACTTTTCTGATTGAATGGACTGAAATTACCGTATCCATATAATTTATTAATAAAATATATTTTAAATACTTCATATAATTTTTTAATAATTTAACAAAATCAGCCAATTCAACCAGTACAGTCAAAATTTCATAATTTTTTAGCAAAAACAACCAATTCAACCAATTTCATTATTAATTTATTTTCAAACAAGCTCTAAATATATTTAATTGTATCTCACTTTTGTAGATCCAATTGAAAGACACACTTTGTGAAGCATTTTTTCAAACTGTACTTAATATGAAAAGGAAGGAGAATACATTGGTTTAGAAACTACTAGTATACCATACAATAGAATAAAATGTCCACATCCGCAAGTAATTGATTTGTACGAGTACCATTTTGAATCTTATTAACTCTATTAGTAATACAGGCCGCCTAGTGGTCCAAGAGAGACTGATTTTTATTGTTGTTGGGCCATTGAATTTGTGGGTGCAGATTGCCCAATAGACATGGAGAATCAAAACTACACAATCGTAACGAGCCAGTGCAAGGGGCCCAAATACGACGGGAAGGTATGCTGCGGAGCATTCAAGGAGCTGGCCTGCAAAAACAGGGACGCGCTCAACGCCGAGAACAACAACTGCGCCACCGTCATGTTCAACTACCTCCACCTCTACGGCAAGTACCCCCCTGGCCTCTTCGGCAACCTCTGCAAGGAAGACAAGAATGGCCTCGACTGCAAGCAAGTCGACGAGAAACAGGCCGCCGCCGCCGCAGCAGCAGCAAAGAGTGGTGCTGGAAGAGGTTTTCAATCATCGGCGGTGTTGCTGGCCGCCGCGGCTGCTCTTATGGCGTTATTTTGAATCTTCTGAAGTGAAAGGATTCGTGTGAATATTATGCTAGAATTCATAACTGAGTCATTACTATGTCAAGAAATGTAAAAAAATGAGAACAAATTCTAATCCTTTATTTCAAATATTCATTACGTACTTACGATGATCACTTTTCAATTGAAGAACATTTGGGTAGTCATATGCATTGAAATCATTTTGATAACCACTTCTTTTCCATATTAATTTAATGCTTTCACTTATTTTAGAAAACAAATATACTTTTCTTTCTCTCTAGTGATATGTAGAGATAAGGAGAACTATGCGTATAAAGAGAAATTGATGATTAGTGAACTGTTTACATCTATATCCAAAGGGTATTTATATCAGTAATAAATGTTGGGTACAATAATTGTACATACACGTGTAAACTAGTATCGAGAACAAGTTGCATGTCTACACAGATAACTACTCAACTAGGGATGTGTTTACTACAAATGTGTATAAATTTTGTGTACAAATGACTTTTTCCAAACTAGTGCGTGAGCAAGAGCTCTGTTGTGTTGCAAAATCTGGCGCGTAATGTTGGGTGACCATTGGGCATTTGTCGAATAATTGGATGAGGATATTTAGGACAATGGCTCTTTATGTGTTGGATAAGGTGCTAGATAGTCATGGACCCGGGCCGGGCCCGGCCGGGCTTTTTTTTTTGGGAAGGAAGGCCCGGGTAGCCACCGGGTCCAGGTCCAGGCCGGGCCTCCGGTTTGCTCATTTTTTTTTGCTTTGCTAACCCCCCCAAACCCCTCCTAACCATCAAGCCCAACCCGGGTGGAACCCCAAAAATGAAAAAAAAAAAAAAAAACAATTCGACCCGGACCCGGGCCCGACCCGGCCGGGCCGGTTAGCCAAATACAAGGCCCGAGCCCGGATCCGCCCCCCCACCGGGCCTAGGCCCGACCCGGACCCAGTTCTCGGGTCCATGACTAGTGCTAGAGACCGAGAGGCCTTTGATGGATCAAGGTGATTTCTCGGCAAATTCCAAGTAGTCTGTGTTGTTTCCAGTATAGTGCCTGAACCCATATACCCTGTCAACTACATTTAATGGTTTAAGTTATGAGCTCAAGCACGAAGTTCATAACTACATTTTGTTGTTTCCAAAATCGGCTGTTTTGGCTGATTCTGCTGAAATTTTTGAAGTTCTGGCTGAAGTGGCTGCATTGGCTGATTCTGCTGATTTAAGAAATAATTATTTTTAAAATATATTTTATGAATAAAATTAAAAAAAATATATGTAAAAATAGCTAAAATGGTCATCTACAATAACTTTAGCCAATGCAAAACAGCCAGAAAAGTAACTTCAACCTTACTTTTTCTGCTTATTACACAACTCAGCGCGCGAAAGTAAAAATTACGTGTTTGGTGAAAAAGTCGGCTGATAAGCGTGATAAGCCGAAAAAAGGTGCTGCCAAACAGCCTCGTAGTTGACACACATATGTTCAAGTAAATTTGATTTGTTGTTATTTTCTCTCTTATTTCAACAATAACTATGTGTCTGGGAATGTAACATGCACAAAGTATTTTTTATTCAAAGATCAAATGTTGCATTAAGTATATACATCAATAAATACATGATGCACGATTAACATATAGTTGACACACATTTACTTTATAAATTATATAAGTGTATCAAAACTAAAATAAAATATTTCATATAGAACGTAACAGAGGTAACGTAGTGTTAGTTTATTACGGAGTAGTAATTAATAAAGGATGTTGTTCCATATCACTAAAAAAGAACTGAAGGGCATCAAACCTCAAAGTTTTGCATATGATGCACCGATGCCCATTGCCCTATGTATAAATGTTTATTAGGTTAGACAACAAGTTTAAAAAATATTTTTCTGCATAAATAATTATATTAAAAAAAATTGAGATTAATGTATTTTTTCGGATTCTCTGCGTATGCAGCTTGATTCTATATATAATAATACTCCGTAATATTATAAATTGTATTGGACATTAGTAATTTCTTTTGGCGCTTTTTGACATGTGTATCTGAATAGTACGTCCAACAGATTTGAAACAACAGATTGAGGACATGTGGGATATATGGATATAGATCCATATCAAAATTTCAAAATTAGTACGTCCAACGAGTCATTAAGAAAAATAACTTCCTGTTTGACAATCAAACAGATTAACAAAATAAATTTAACTTTACTGTTGGGTGCACTGTTTTACACTGTTCAAACACTGTTTGAACACCGTTTGACACTGTTTTGATGTAGATAATTTGCCAAATAAGGAAAGTATTGAAGTATGAATTTAATTTAGGGACATCCATTTAAAGAAAGTGGAAAGTTGTTTTTGAGGCGGAGGGAGTAGTCACTAAATTGATTTACAAGCTGGTTTACACATCGATTTACACTTTACACTTTACACGTCGTAATAGACAATTACTTTTAATTTTAGTAATGGTATTGTTTGCGACTTCCAAAAAATGAATTATCTATGACCATAACAAATTGAACTAATTCAGGGTCACAAATACTTTCTTTACTAAAATTCAAAAGAACCTGTACACACAATTAGAGTTAGCCACTTAAGCGTGTAAACCGCTTGTAACCTAGCGTTTACAAAACACGGCGTACAAAATATGGGCAGAGAGGGCAACATCTTGAAATGGAACCAATGATGCTTTGGCGGCAAATAATGGATGGATGAATTTATCCGTCATTCCATATTTGACCGAATCGTGGAGGCCGGCGCACGGTTGGCCCTCTCCTCCTCGACTACAAAGTGCCACGCCGCAATAAGAAGAATAGAATATCATGTTTTTGATTATTTATTCTTGCTTTGATTTTATTGGTGGATATGGTTCTTGCTAAATTCCCAAAAATACAAAGGCGCCGTTTGGAGCACCACAAACAGGCTGATAAGCCTGAAAGTGCACAAAAATCACCAAACATCAACCAAATTAGCTACTCTGGCTGATTTTTCTTATCAGCTCAAAAAGGAAGTGTTGAGTTACTTTTTGGGCTGATATTTACTCCCTCCGTCCCGTTTGAATGTTCCCGTTCGGTTTACGATGCTTGACTGACGATAAAGCAACTCGATCCCTGTTCACAGTCCGCTTATTTTTAGTAAATAAAATTTACATATTCAGAAACTACATTAAAATCGCTACAAAGCCTGATCAAGAAAAGTTCAATTTGATAAAAATTTGATATATAAAGTAAAAGATTAGGAGTGACCTAAGTTGACCAATGAATAGTGAATGAGAACATTCCAACGGGACGGAGGGAGTATTATTCTACTATTAGCAATAGCAAAGACCCTTTACCCCACAACGGAAGACTGCCTTTAGCTCGTCACCCCAAGCCCTTCAGCTGAAACCTAGCTTGCTCACTTTCTTTTTGGCATCTATGAGCCTGCGTTTTCTTCCCTTTGGATGAGGAAAACTCAATTTCAAGATTCTTTATTCATTCGAGGTAGTCTTTGTTCTTCCTATGGATAATATCTCTTGGATTTGGCTTTGAATCATTACATATGAGACTTTTTCCTCTCAAATGGTTTTGGTAGATGATTTTTTTGTTTTTGTTTTAAATTGATCTGATTTTTAAAAGCCCTTGGTTCTAGGTTGTAGAAATTTGGTGAAGTTTGGCCTGAGTTTCTTTTCTCCTAAAAAAATCCATTTTTAGTATTGGAAACTGGAAAGGTTTCAAAAGTGGATTAAGAAAAATTCGGCCATTTTGACTGATGTATATTGGAATATTGGATATTTGGATGTGTGTTTTCACGGAGAAAAGTTGCATAGCAATTTGAAGGACACAACAATTTAAGGAAAGCAGCAGCATATATAACAATTTAATATCCTTTTTGGTAATTTTATTTTCAATCAGCCATTTAATCCAATATATAACCAAACACTTTCACAACAGCAGATTTAGTCTTTTTAGTCTTTTCAGTCTTTTCAGCCATTTCAGCCACTATAGCCATTACCAAACAGGCCCAAAATGTGTAGGGACTCCGGAAATATGATGGGTAACCGGATTCAATCACCTTTTAACAGTTTGACAGGAGTATATAATTCTCATAGAATACATTGAAGAAGTTATGGGTTTTTACACAACTATTTGTGAGAGCTTCTACTTCAAAAAAGTAATTTTTAAATTGATATTAGAAAAAATGTTTATTAGTAAAAGTTGATGGTGTTTAGAATAGAAGTGATTAAAGTTTTTTTCAAGGATACATTATCATAGTGCTAAAATAACTTTAACATTAATAACCCAATGTTACTTTTTAACTTTATTACCCCCAATGTTGCTTCTGGCTTTCGAGGGAAACATGATTAAAATTAAGGAGAAGGTCAGTTTTGCAAACACAAATTTTAGCTTTTTTTTTTTGCAAAAAAGCATAAAAGTGCTTTTGAGAAGCTGTTGCAAACGGAGTCTAACTCTATTCCAGCTATCAGATTTTTACATATTTTACCACATTAGAATTAAATATTCCGTAGGTGAGAATTGAGGAGTAATTATATCAAATCTGACGACATTAGAATTAAATACTCCGTAGGTAAGAACTGAGGAGTAATTATATCAAATCAGATTAAATCATATTAAATTGTACAACGTTTATGATGACTATATCAAATCAGAAAAATTCAATCTAAATAAGATTATCCTCAAATAACACTACTCACATTGATCATACATTTATTAGACCAAATCGATCAAAATTAGGTCAAATCAAATTCAAACATATTAGGTTAGACAAAATTTAAACCCTCCATTTCATTGGATTTTGCCAATATTTCTATTTTGTTTGTTCCAAAAACTTACAAGCTGGTGATGTGGATATTTTAATTACCTTTAATATAAAAGTGATATGAAAGTGACGTAATGTGTTAAATAATGTGATGTTGCCACATGTATTTTTGTAAAGAAAATTGTAATAATGTATGTACCTCTAGCATAACCCTTAGTTGAAATACCGACTATCAAACAAACCCTAAATTTACAATATCATGAACCATTGAAAGATCAAATTAAACAATTGAATTAAAGAATGTTTAATTATTAAAGTACGAATAAGTACCCTGACAAATACTTTCAAGGGTGTGTATCGTAAAGTGTAGGGATATAATATGTTTTACACAATTTGGCGTTCATTATTTAATGTAAGCGGTACCGAACTCTTTAAAAACATTTTACGTTAGTGGAGGGCGGTAAAATATTTTAATCACTCTTTATAAATACGAGTATAAAGTTTACATGCAATCTAATGTACACATTTGACGAAAGAATGTAATCTATTTTAGATATTATCTCTCGGATACAAAGATTTAAGTAAATAAGCAAACGAGGCATGAAAAAATATGTTACTCCGTATTCATGGTAGAATGACTGCAATGGCGCTCAGAGAGATTGTGAGAAGGTGTTGGCGGGAGGGGGGTTGAATATTCAATGTAATCAAAACTAAACAACGCGATTGCAGATTATCTATGAGCGGTTATCAGCGTCTCTATGAACCTCAACCCATCAAACCTCGGCGCAAATTTCTCCGCAGGCGCCGGTGATGACTTCCTTGGAGTCGCCGACTTCTTCCCGGAGTCATCCTCCTGTAATAATGGCAAGGTATGAAAAATGTCAATTCCAGCAACTAATTAAACAGACACGACGACTCGACGGCTTATTCTATGGGGGTTTAAATATTTCACACACACACCTCATAATTAGACGGTTGGGTTTTGGGAGACGGGGATACGGAGGAGATAGCGGTGGTAGCGGATACAGCGGCGGCGGAAGCGGCAGCGGCAGCGAAGAGGCTGGATTTCTTCATGGTGGGGTTAAGGACTGTTTGCATTGGGAGGACGGACTAGTGTTCGTAATTTCGTCTATGGAAGTGGAGTCTTAAGTTTAGGGGCTATTTATATTTATCTGAGGGATAAAGGGAGCTCGAGATGAGGTACCCAAAATGCACACGGCAACCATGTGGAACTAAGGATCCCTGTTTCCAAATTACACGACTCCCTTTTGACCAAGCCAAGCCAGTGCGTTGAATTCAAACGAAGGTCGGTATCGTTTTCATTCGATTGGTCAAATTTTATTTCCGAAAACTGTGGTCCTCGAACTTTCATAAAAAAGTCAAATAAGTCCTTATATAGGAGGTTCTGTCCAACCATCGCGATTTGTGATGATTCCCGGTGAAATTTTTTGATGAAACTTTTTGAGCATCTTATTCAACAAGTCTAGTTTACTCATACTAAATTTCAGCTAAAACTTCAATCGCGAATGCATTCAAATTAATTCTTGAAGATAACTGTGCAGTTAAATGAACACTTCCCTGTTCTGTTAATCCACGTGGACTCGTGGAGTATAATGTGAGTTACTTGAAGCTGAATACCGGTTCTGATTACTTTGGGCATCTATAACCATCCTTATTGATCCATTAGAATCATATTGACATATTGTAGTTATGTAAGCAACAAACTGATTTCTTGTTATGTTTTGAGATTTTAATTAATATTTGAACATTAATGTTTCATGTGATTGTAACGCTTAATAAAGATATACCCGTAAAAAATGAAATTTGAACCTTTTTGCCTGTTCGAAGTGCGAATTAGATTTTTGTTTTTAGTTTAGAGACTGAATTGAGCTTACACGACTAGTACAAGGACCTATTTGACCCTTTAACCAAAATTGAATCATTCGCTTATTCAAAACGTTAAACAGAAAAACACCACCTAATCCAAAGTACAAAACCGATCAAGAACAAAACAGAAATACAAAACAATTTTAGTTTGCAAAACAAATGAAAAACAAAAAAAATTGTATAGAAACAAAGGTTGAATCTTCAAGCTTCTGAGTGGGACTACATATAAAAGCTCGCCCTCGCCCTGTTTTTTGAGCTGATTGTCTCAAAGTCGTATCCAAAACAAAAAAAATGAGATATGTCTTTGCTTTCCTTAATAAATTGAAGAAGTGACTTTTACTAATTTTCCAAATTTGGAAAACGCGGATGTTGCAATGAATCTGTATACTTATGCCTAATGGTGGATCCGACCCTGCTGCGATGTTAGTTTCAGTTCGGTCTGGTCAACGACCCACGGTCCCTACCTGGTTTGGTTGATACGACTCGACGTCTGGTCCGGTCATTGACCCGGAAGTCCCCGTCCGGTCTGGTCGATGGGCGAGCAATCTTGGTCCGATCCGGTCGATGACCCGATGGTCCTGGTCCGATCGACGACCTGGTGGTCCCTGTCTAGTCTGGTCCATGACCCGGCAGTCCCTGTCCAGTCCGGTCGATGACCCGATGGTCCTTATTCGTTCCGATCCACGATCATGTGGTACCTATTCGGTCCGGTCGACGGTTGGGCAGTTTCGGTCCGATCCGGTCAACGACTCGACGATCCCCATTCGGTCCGGTTAATGATCCAGCGGTCCCTGTCCTGTCTGATCAATCACCCGGTTGTCCCCATCTTGTCGGGCCAATTCAATGACTCGATGATCTGTGTTGGGTCCGATCGACAATCAGGCGGTCCTAGTCCAGTCTCGTCAACGATTTGGCGGTCCCTGTCTAGGCCGATCAATGACACGGCGGTTCAATCTCGATTTTTTGAAATCATTTTTAAAGTGAAAAGTTTTAAAGGAGTTGTTGAGTTGTGAATCAATAGGGAAATGTGAAAAGAATTCATCAAACTAATCGTTGAGATCGTCCGGGACCGACCGATTTCAGTCCTGAGTTTCCTGTATACCTATAAGTGGGACCTGGTACCCTACGTGGGTTGGGTTGTACTAGGTTCGATTCCGAACTGGAACTGTACTTTCGGTCTTCTGGTCGGACACACGGAACCAAATGAAAATTTTGAAAATGGAAAACTAAAAAATGAAAACAACAAATTGGAGATAAAAAATTTAGTAAATGAAAACAGAAAATTGGAGAACGGAGAATATAAATAGAAAAGTGATATATATTTCTGTTAGTAAACAAATCCTAACATTCTTCCAAGAACAGGATCTAATGTTTAATTTTTCTTAAACATGACTAATCATCATTTCTACCCTTAATTATTTAATTAGCCTAATGAATTATACTTCTAGTTCCCTTGCATAACTATCAATCTGTTGGTGGAAGCACAAAACTCCGGCTACAGTCCTGGCAGCGGTAGATTTCTGCCATAATAGTGGTGGCATTATGAAGAGAGAAAAAACTGCAGTTGGATGAGAGGCGGCGCCGCGGCGGTCCGACGACCTGAGCAACATGGGGCCAGTTGCTCCAACTCTCCAAGTCTCCCACCCTATAAGTCTATTTTATCCCGTCATAAATATAAAAAAAAAACTTTAGAAAATGGACGCATTTTAATCCGATTTGAGACTTCTCCCACCTTACATCTTAGGGCCTGTTTGGATGGAGTGTTTGGAAGTGTTAGTAAGTGTTAGTAAGGGCTAAGAAAATGGACGCATTTTAATCCTATTTGAGACTTCTCCCACCTTACATCTTAGGGCCTGTTTGGATGGAGTGTTTGGAAGTGTTAGTAAGTGTTAGTAAGGGCTAAGAAGGGAAGGGAAGTGTAAGTGTTAAACATAATTTTACCTTGTTTGGGAGAGTCAAATGAATGAAGTGTCAATAATGGAAGTGTTAATAATTTTACCTCGAGGCAAAAGAAACGAGTAAAGAGAAGAGATGAAAAAACAAAACATCAGACCAGTGGGAAAGACATTCGAAGTGAAATGTCGAAGCATTTTATGTTTTTCGGGTAAATGAGAAGGGTAATAGTTGTCCAACACCTCAAAACACTCCAAATCGGGGTGTTAAAAAATGGACAATTGAGGTGTTGAGAAGGTTATTATTAACACTTCCTAACCATTACTAACACTTCTTAACACCTCTGGAGTTTTCTCCCAAACAAGTGTTAGCATCAACACTTACTAACACTTCCATTACTAACACTCGTCAACGCTCAATCCAAACAGGCCGTTAGCCATATCTTCTTCAAATGTATGTTCTCATGGATAGTTGTGTCGCGTTACGTTGTTTGGGGGGTGAGAGGTGGCTGGGAGTTCAACTATCAATGCATTAAAACTATACATACTCGATCATTGAATGGCCGGGTTTAACCTTTCCAATTCTCAACTCTCATGGGTAATGAACAAGTGCATTTCAATTCCAATCGATCACAACTATCTTCTATTTAAAGCGCAGCTTTGGTTCAAGGCTCTTCAGTCTCAGTATATAGTCGTTTCCAAGTCTCCCCAGAATCTGTAATCTGCAACAAGAAAACATCTTCCAATCCAGGAAAAAAATGCCTTCCGGTCCAAAGAAAAGGAGAGCTGCCAAGAACAAGGAAGCTGCAGCCAAAGTTGTTTCAAGCAATGCACATGGTATGTATGAAACATTCATTAATTTCTTTCACTTTTATGTTACTGTTGTTATCCAGGTCACTTGTTTGTTTTATTTAAGAATATGTTTGGCATGAACAGGTTCTGGAAATACTGCGGAGTCTACGGAGAAGGCATCATTGACTTTGATGAACACCATTGTCAGCGATGCTTCCACTAATAAAGAACCAGAAAAGGTTGTGGATGCATCATCTGCTCCCGAGGAATTATCTCAGGTAACCAAGGAGTGGGTTAATGGCAATGACGACGAAAAAGCATCGAAAGTGATCAATGAGTGCTGCATAGCTTCGTCTGAATCAGTTGAGGGGTCTAATGAATCCCAAATCTGTAACAATGGCGGCCCCTCTGAGGGAAAAGCTGAACACATTTCAAGCATATGTGTTGACAATGGTACTATCATTATATCTTTTCAGTGTTCCTCTGTTTTCTTATTCCTCTGTTCCTTTGTAGTATAAAATAATGAAAAGTATACATTTCTGAAAATTTATTTGACAATGTTTTCATCAGCTGATTTTCTGTATAAATTTATAAATAAAATTTAGTTGCGGAACTGGTTATGCATGGTTTTTCACAGTATATACTAGGAAGACTGTAACTTTTGATTAGTCACATACAAGTTGATAAGTATATAGATTCGTTTATGATTCGTGATGATAAATTTTTCTATCTATGTGTATTTCAATTAGGTTCGATAGCATTTTTTCCTTAAATAGAAACATGATGTGTAAAATAGAATTTCAATATAATGAAAAAATATATGCTCAAAATTAGAGAACAAAGAACTGTTGAAATTGTAGTGAAAATTGTATGGAAATTCTCCTTGTTAAGAAAAACTTTCAAGTGTAGATTTTAAGTAACTAAATTTGTTTATCTTACATTTTGTGAGACAGACTGTTTTTCAAAAACTTTATGTAGCAATTCCTTTAATTTTTTTACACTAGTTGCTGCAGACCCTCTGAAAGGGGATGATGATGGGCCAGAAGAAATTGGGAGTGCCACTTGCATTGCTGAATCTGAGGTGAAAGTCTCTGCGACAAATGCCTCCATTGGAACACCAGTCGCTGCAGATGTTCCTGAAGAAATCGAGAAGGTAGCTTGCATTGCCGAATCTGAGGCGAAAGTCTCTCTAGAAAGTGTTGAAGCCACTGCCACCATTACGGCAGCTGTGCAAAGTGAAATCTTGGAAGTGATCTGTCAGAAAGATGATATTAGCATGACAGAGAAGATAGTGTCTAACAATGAGAAGAAGGATGCACCTGTGATGTCGTCTGAGATTGCTGCCAAGGATGCTGATGAGTTTTTTATTCAGAAGGATGGTGTTAAAGTGGTGAATGGGTGTGAAATAACGTGCGACGTCGAAGGGAAAGACGATGGAGCTGAGTTTGATGCTGAGTTTCTGACTTCTAAGATAGATGAAGTGGTCAGTAGCATATCAGTTGCTCATGATGGGAAATTTATAACCCATCTTAAATTGATGTTTTCCGCCATTGGCCTCAAAGATTTTAATGCTGCGGTATTTGATGAACATTATAGTAAGTTGATGGAGGTGGTGGAACAATTTGAACGTGAAGCTCAGGAGTTTAAGGCTGTTTTGTTCATGCTCAGGAAACTTAAGATGTCTGCTGCGGCTGCTCTTACTACCTGATCCAATTTGGCATTCTCCCTCCTTTCTACTTCTTTGTATGCTATCAAGTATTAATACATATGGATGTTTTAAATGTTTTGTGATGAACCTTTTGCATCAGCATTGTTTTGTTCAACTGTTTCAATTTCTAAACACTTCATGCTTTTTCCCTGCTATTTATGGATACCTAATTGGAAGGCCTATTTTTATAGCTCTTTAAAAAATGCCTGAGTACATGTCTGTGTAAGCTTCAATATAATTACATAATTGCGCGCTGGCAGATCCACAAAATAGTTATAAACTCATAGGTGCACCCTATAAGTAAAGTCATTAAAGATTGAACGAATGACATACTCCATATAATATAGATATAGAACAATCAATGTCTAACATTATTCAAATACAAAGTGTCTTTTTTTATCGCAACCACACTCCACAAGTTTTTATTTTTTGGAACTGATTCAACACAGCATCATTTGTAATGCAGTTTTATGCCTTTAATGGTTTTATAAAAATTATGACCATCAGTGGCGGATCTTGGATGTTAGTTTTGAAGGTTCAAATTTATTTTATAAAATTTGGGTGTTCATATACATATAGAAAATTTTACAATAGCACCCATATACATGTATTTTTACACTACTAGTTATAAAATTTGAGTGTTCACATGAACACCTTTGACGTATAATAGGTCCGCCCCTGATGACCATGACTCCATGAGATTGATAGTGTCCTCCAAAGGAGTATTTTCCTAATTTACTTCATTTATTTGATTTGGATGATTTAAAAACAAAATCCTTTATCCAAGGGGAAGTACTCAAAGTTGAGACCAATTACTTGAGGCACTGGAGTACAAATTGATGCATTACCGCTTAGAATTTCCCTATTATTCCATTGTGATAAGATGGAGATGTTTTTCTTTTAGAGCTAGCATTACATTATACTCCGTAGTTGTTTAATTTGCCCAAAAACAATTGATTTATTTTTTAGTTAATCATTAACTAAGAAGAAAGTAAATAGGATGTCTAATAACACATCATTCAATTCCCAACACAATCAAAATCTATCATAACTTACAGAAATAATAATTGATTGGTGGCTCTATAATTAATTTATTAAAAGTATAATTTATTCTATGCTAAAAACTCAGGTGTACTGGATGTCGTTGGGGGCATGTGCCCTCATTATTTAGATGGTGATGTTGGCGCTTTTGACTTGCGACTTGGAAGCTGTTCTCTTCGCCTGATCTGAATGTTTCTGATCTGAATTTTTTAAGTTCTGATCTGATCTGATCTGAATTTTTCTGATCTGATCTGATCTGATCTGAATCTGTCTGATCTGATCTGATCTGATCTGAATCTTTCTGATCTGATCTGATCTGATCTGAATCTTTCTGATCTGATCTGAATGTTTCTGATCTGGTCTGATCTGATCTGAATGTTTCTGATCTGATCTGAATCCTTCTGATCTGATCTGAATCTTCTGATCTGATCTGATTCGAATATTTCTATGATTATAATTACAATTATAATTATAATTATAATTATAATTATAATTATAATTATAATTATAATTATAATTATAATTATAATTATAATTATAATTATACTTATAATTATAATTATAATTATAATTATAATTATTATAATTGCAATTACAAATATAATTTAAATAAAATTATAATTATAATTGTAATTATAATTACAATATTTATCTCTATAATTGTAACTATAGTTATCAATATTATTAAATTACTCCGTAAAATAATTACAATAGTAATAATAATAATAATAATAATATTAATAATTATAATAAAAATAGTAATTATAATCATAAATTATAATTATAATATAATTATAAGTATAATTATAATTATTATAATTATAATTAATAATAATTATAATTATATTAACATTAATTATAATATTATAATTTAATAATAGTAATATAAATACAATTAATATTATTATAACGACATTATTATATTAATATTATTATTACAAAAATATAATAATAATATGATTATTATTATAATTAGTATTATATTATTATAATATTATATTATAATTATAATTATAATCATAATTATAATTATGATTGTAATTATAATTATAATTATTATAATTATAATTAATTACAATTATATTTATAATTAATTATAGATATAATTATAATAATTACAATTGATTATACTTATAATTATAAGAATTATAATTGTAATTATAATTATAATTACATATAATTATAATATAATATTATAATAATATTAATCATATTATTATTATTATAATATTGTAATAATAATAATAGTCTTCTTAACAATTGCATTTATATTACTATTATTATATTAAAATATTATAACTATTATTAATATCTTTTTTTATCATATTATTATTAATATTATTAATAATAATTATATAATAATAATCATAATAGTAATAAAAATATTAATAATAATAATTAATATTTAATATAATAATAAAAATGATAAATCATGTTTGAACTTTTCTGATCTGATCTGATCTGAATGTTTCTGATCTGATCTGAATGTTTCTGATCTGGTCTGATCTGATCTGAATCTTTCTGATCTGATCTGAATCTTTCTGATCTGATCTGATCTGATCTGAATCTTTCTGATCTGATCTGATCTGATCTGAATCTTTCTGATCTGATCTGATCTGATCTGAATTTTTCTGATCTGATCTGATCTGATCTGAATAAAATAAGAATAAGCAATAAGTAATAAGAATAAGACGAACAGAACAGCACCTTGATCTATTTATTTTGATATGTGTTTGATAAACTTAGTTGTGGGAATATAGCAACTACTAATCTACCTCTATATAAAAAGAGGTGGAATTGGAGGTGATTTTCCCGCCCAAAATCCCGGGTCATTAATGGGTCGGGTCAAAACACATAATCAGGTTGAATTGTTTTGCTACCGTTGGCCAATCAAATTAAAATGTTCATTGGGTAGCGAAATAAAGCATTTGTTCATTGGGTAATTCAATTTTTTTGGTAAACCTACAGTCTATCGGCCTATGGTGTTGGAAGGCGTAAAGCAACATTGAAAATCAATTGATTGTTTCGGTCGACATGACAACTCATATTGCCAGCATTTAATGTATAATGCAGGAGTTAAAAATATCTATGGAGATGTAATAAACAATTTTACTGTCAGAAAAGGAGTTATCCTAACAAATAATTTTACGGCTAAGCCAACACATCAAGTTGCTTTTATAAATAGCACTGTATATTACATCGCAAATTTGTCCATGTTTCTCTTGAGAGAGCTGGAGCCTAGAGAGATAATCAGATAAAGCAAGTAAAAGAAAATTATGATAAAGCTACAGTATGTAAGATGAACAATGCAAGTGTCCTAATTTGTTGTCCAGAATCGTGAAGAGATACACAGAAAAAGGTTGGAAACCATTTTTTCTCATCCAAAGGCTATTTATTTCCACTGAAACACAGAAATGCTACTTTCTTTAAAGAGTTATGCGTACTAACATAACGCGAATGAAGTCAAGGAACATATGGAGTACAAATCTATCAAAACATCTCCTTACACGGAAGAAATCTTTGCTTTTCTTCGCCTGATGTGAGCCGGGCACCGTTAGGAAGGGTGACCAGGCATGGCTGGGACGGGATCATCCGCCAATTACCGGAATACGCGTTTCTCTCTCCAGCGACCTTAACAGTCAACGGCATGATGACGGGTCGGACCCTCTTGTGGATGGAGATGAAGGAACCTATGTTCGTGGGTTGGAACAAGCTTTTTGGAGTTTGGTGATGGCGGGTCAATTCTCTTGCAGACGGACACATCGGTGGAGTACAATTTTTTGATAGGATGCTGATATATTTACTTTTTATTTCAAAAATGATGTACTTAATAAGTATATATATATGTCCTTCATGGTTTTGCATAATACGATAGTAATTTTTTGTAATATGTGTGTGTAAATTTGCTTTCGTTTCAAGTAGAATTCTTCATTTCTAGGTTATGTCTTATTTTACCTTATACAGACTAATTTAGTAAAGCTTGAACGAGTAGGTTTTTTTAGGGATCCTGAACCTCTACCTTACTTCAAAGCAAGGCACAGTGCCCGTTATCAAATGACCTCTTATTAAGAAAGTCAAAGTAAAGTGAAAACGTATGATTGTGATTGAGTAAAAAAAAAGATAAATGAATGTTAATCATACAAAATTTTCTAAAAATGGCAAGTGAAAAGAATTTTTGGGACATCATAAAATGGTACCCCCGTAATTTAAAAGATTTTTATGGGACGGAGAAAGTATATGAAGTACTCCTTTCGTCCCAAAATTATTGTCCCGCTTTCCTTTTCGCTCCGTTCCTAAATAATTGTCACGTTTCTTTAACTTTCTTATTTGGTAAACAAATCTATACAAAACAGTGTCAAATAGTGTTGTTACAGTGTCGCTACAGTGTCATTTTCTTAATCTGTGTGAAAAACCAAACAGGACAATAATTTTGGGACGGGGGGAGTATTAAATTTGTTTTGTATAGTCAAAACAAATTAAAAAGGAAATTAAAAACTTCTTTTTGGAATAGAGAATATAGTAAGATTCGTACTCCGTTGTATACATAATTTAACGAACTAGATCAATGCAGCTCAGACAAAAATGAAGCAAATCAACTTAGACGAAATCAAATCTTAATAGCCATTAAAGTCCTATCAAAATGTAAAAATTTAACATCAAATAAAAGTATCATGAGTGTCATATACAACACGGATTTGGATCCTCTGCCGCATGGCAGAGGTGTCTTGCGCAATCCAGCGGGCAACAACAATAAGGGAGGAGAGTTTGTGGAGGAGAAGTGCGGATAATTGATCAGGCACCCTACCTGGCTGCAGAGCCAGATAGAGAATCCCGATTCATACAACACACATCACTTTTCAATAGACGTTATTACTCTATCGGACATTAATTTTAACATTTATTTTGGGGGAAAGGGGCAAAAGAATGGGCATGAATGGGCATCCATGCCCTTAAAGTTTTCTTTTGGGCAAAAAGCTTTATAATTCACCAAAGAGGGACAACCAACCCTTTATTTTGGTGTGTCTACTTCATGTTACAAATAATATGATATTTATACCACTTGATCTTATTTAGATTACTACTTTTCAAAGGGTTTATGTGTTCTATAATTTATTACTTTTGAAATCAAAATTTCCCAA